TCCAGAGCATCGTCTAGTCGGAAAAGGGAACAAAATGCTCCAGTGTTGCCAAGCTCTGAAGTTGTGTCAACAACCATCGGCTGTGTTAGGGAAGGGTCTTTCATCAAGTGGCAACGCAGATCAGGAGGACCCTGCTCTGAACCACTGCCCACTCCCAGTCTTAGACACCCAGCTCAGGGTGACTTGGGCTCCGGGTGAGTGAAGATCAGCCGCGTTTGCCTCTGGACTGATTTTTTCTAGCCACCAGAGAGCACTCAAATACAACCTGCAGAGCAGGGACGAGTTGCTGGTGCGAAGCGCAGTGCCCAGATGTGCCGAACCCTTTGGGAACCAGCTGCCCAGCTCCTCTCCAGCAGGTTTTTCTTGCAGTCAGCCCCACCAACTCCAGTCGAACCCCCTGGACCCGTTACACTGTTGTTTTGGGTTTTTTTTACAGAGCTGAAGCCAGTCAGTGATAGGACCACGTTTAAAGTTAGGGCTGATTTTGCACTTACCTTCTATACACAGTCTGGCTCCCAACAGCTAAACTAAGAGCCTTTCACTGACTCATAAGCCAGAAGAGATTTTTCAACCACCTGTCTCAACACGAAGGGAGTGGGGGGGGGGTTCAAGTGTCAGGATTATAGTTGGACTCAATGATCTTAAGGGGTTTTTCCAGCCTTAAAGATTTTATTTGTCTATAATTCTCTTCTAAGTGGTAGTGCAATGAGAAAGTGGGAAGAAGACCCTCTGCATGGGTGCAATGAAAAGAGTGTTTCCCCAGCTCTAGGAAAGGTAAAGTAGCAGTCAGGAATCACAGAGGTTTCCTGCTTTACTCCCAAATATGGTGCCAAGGTTTTCAAGCACATCTTCACCACACACTTGACCTAAGCTGCTGCCCAAGGACTTTACTTGGGTTTTCCTCACTCCCACCAAACAAGGCCTGCAGGCATTTATGGCCATGCTAATTTATTTGGTTGGACATAAACAAGAGTGCAAGGTCTGCTCAGCTTTGGTGATGACTCCTGGTTGCTCATTACCTGCATGAAATGGGGAGATGACTCCCTTTATGATCCTGCAGGGTTAAGAAAAGGCTGAGGTTCATGGAGATCCAGGTTCTCCTGATGAACTACCCAGCCCAGCACCATTTAAGCTAGGTAGGTTAGAGCTGGCCATGTTTTGTTCCTAGATTTCTCTTTAAAATTAGGAAACACTTCAAGAACATCATCAGAACAATTCCTCCATTTTATGAGTGATTTTGGGCCCCACTGAAATTCTCCCAAGAGGAAAAAGTTCAGCTGTTTGAGCTAGCAAGAGAAAAGAGAAGGAGATGGGAGGCAAGAGGGCAGTCAGACTCTGGGTTTCACCCAGCCCATGGGCTTCTGAAGTCTGTGTTTTTAAATGAAGATATTAGTGGTTGCAATCACAAAGATGCCCTAAAGCAGTAACAGTTTACTTATCCAGAGACACGTAGTGAGATTATATTTGCTTAAAAATAGATTTTGACCTGCTCAGTGTCTTCCTCTGTGCTGATCTAGTAGACTGGCTTTGTGATCAATGGAGAAGAGGGTGTTTCTGGCACACGTTGCTGGGAGCACTGGGATCTATTTCAGGTGCTCACTTCAAGATACGATTATTTGTGCCCTAAAAGTGACTGCTTTCTCCAGTGGCTACAGGGAGAATGTAGCAACTAGCTTGGGTGTTCAGGTGTCAATTCAGCTGTTCAGCTGTGGTTTAGTGACATTGAAGAGACCTTGGTGTATCCCATATGGCCTCCAACTGCTGCCCTAGAGGGTTGTGTTGGTCTTGTTCTATGTCTGCATCTCCACGGGCCTCTGTTACATCTCAGTTTACAGTGTTGGATGTGTAGGCAATGGAATGAGACCTAAGTGGTTGAAGTTGATGACCTTAGAAGCAGGTGTTACCATGTTGGTGCTCTCAAGTGCATTAGATATATATGTACTTGTTACAGTAATTGAAGATCTAGTCGGTGTGGTCTCTGGAGCTAAGAGGGTGGTACAGCTGATGTGTGTCTAGCAAATCTCACACTTACTTTGTGATCAAGTGAAATGAAATAATTCAGAATGCTTCCTTAGCACTCTCTTCCAAAACAGTAGCTACTAAAATGATACTGTATCAGTATGGAGGTTTTATGGACATGGATAATTGTCCTTCAGAAATACAGAGGAAGATACAGCTCTAGAAATAGGTGGGGTCACTTGTGGTACCAGGGCACAGCACATGCTCTGGATGTTTTCCTCCTGAGTCAAGTTTTCAGCTTTCTGTGATGCAAGAAGAAACCTCCATCTGGTGAGAGAATCATCAGGTGGAGGACAATGGAAATAAAGTCTCCTTGAGAAACCACATTGTTCTAGCTGGATCTACAGCCAGCTGTATCCACTCCTTCTTCAGATGACTGGAGCCTCTGCTGAAGGCACATCCATCACTCGGGTGTTCAAAGTGACATATGCAAAGCCAGAATGATGAGGGCTACCCAAGCATTACAGCGTCGGGTGAATTGGTCTGGGATGGGCCAAGCCCAAATGTTCCATCCCCCTCCCTTACAGACGGTACATACCTGCACGGGGCTGCTTGGCATATGTTTTCACAGCCCAAAGGGGAGAGAAACCAGAGTCAGCATCTTCCACGCTGCTAGTGCCTCCCACATTTCGCCTGAGCGTGGGAAAACACCTTGCTGCTGTAAGACTCTTCGCCGGGAGATGGTGCTCCTGCCCTGGGAGTGATCCCTCCTGCAAACCCCCGCACTCCCCGGTCTGCAGATGCTCTGTCCCTCTGCAGCCACCCAGCCCTCTGCTGAGCTGGGTCTGGATGTGCCCTGTGGGACGGTTTCTTCTCCTCTGAGCTTCTTATGCTGCTCAGCGGCTGAAGGAGAAGGAGGCCCAGGACATGCAACGTCTACAAAAATAGATGGAGAAGGCAAGATGGAGAAGGAAGGCAGAAATTGCGAGGTTAAGGTGCAAAACTGGACAGGAGGCCAGAAGGTATGGTGGTGGTAAAAAGCAGTTCGTGAGCTGCTCAGTTTTGCCCGTGGTCTGTGCTGGTCCCCGTGGGACCTTACAGGTGAGAGACATCTCTCCTAACTGCCAGGGGCATGGCCTAAATCCCCCATGTCCCCTCTGCTTGGCACGAAGGTCAGAGAGACATAGTCCTTGAAAGAAGTGATCCAGAAGTGCTGCAAAATTGCAATCAATCAGGACTTTGGACCACATCCTTTTCTCCACTCAGCTGTCCACCTTCCTCCTCATCTCCTCCTCCTCCTCGAAGCCCAGCACAGGAGCAGGCACAGAGGAGTGAAGGGAGGAGAACTGGGCTGGAGCAGAGGGGGTGGCAGGTCTGCTCTGGCCTTCTGCCTTCCTCAGCTCACCCCCAGGGCTGGTTGATGTCCCCAGAGTAGCTGTCAGGAAATCAACACTGATGCCTCCAACTGAGTGCCTTGCATTGTTACCTGTGCTTAGGTAGGATGCATCCACCTGTTGATTCCTGCTCGAGGTGATGTTCCCAAAAGGGAGGGAAATCAGTTCTTGGGGAAGGAGCTCTTTTTTTTTTGCTAGACCCTGTTGTTGCTGTGGAGAACTATTGGGCTGACCCTAAGGACTTCAGAATTTAGCTCCATTAGGCTGATGTACAACAGGGGGAGGAAAAAAAACCCAAAATAGGAAAAAGGGCATGGAATTTAGAGCATTGAAGTGAATGAGAGAGCAAAAGCAACTGTCTGTCAAGGAATAAACACTATCAAAGGATGCAGAGATGACCTAAAGGGGGAAAGTAACCCCCACCTTCCTCCTGTGTTCATAGTGGTGAACACCTGCATCTAGAAATTTAGGAGTGAGGTAGAACTGAGGTTATTGGTCAGGCTTTGCATTAGGGTAGAGAGCAAAGGGCTTGGTTTTGGTAAGGAGAAATTATCTGTCTTATGTGGCAGAGAAGTGAGAAAGACACAAGAGCCACAAGCAGAAGTGGCTGGGGAGGGATGGGGAGAGGGCAGAGGAGGGGAGGTACAGCTCTCCCTCCAGGGACTGTCAGGGGGAGGAAGGTGATGAGTTAGACTGAGAAAGAAGCCAAAAAGAAGCAAGGTGAATCCCACCCCTCCTGATCAGATGCTAGTCCAGACTACCACCATAAGGACACTTAGGGTGGATCATCACCCCAATTTGGAATCTGTGGCTTGGGGCGTTGGCAAATTACCTGCTGACTCTGCACTTTTCAGAAAGCAATTGGGCTTGTTTGTTTGTTTTTCAATTGACTGAGCACTCAACTGTGTTTTGACTTGCTATCTTCAGGTGGCTTATGCCAAGCCCTGTGGACCAGATGCTGCACAGGACAGTTTACCCTGGGGGGAATGGAAAGTCTAATCCAAGAAGCTTTTATGATTCCATAAGGACTGAACTCTCAGCAAAGCATTTCTGTAAGTTTCCAATCTCCTAGTTAGGAGTATAATGTTCAGATAGAAAGGGATGTGAAACAAGCAGAGTTTTAAACATCCAGATTGTGGTGACTTAAGGTCTCTGGGCCTGAAGGAAAGCAGCCCTGTGGGGTCTTTGAATCCATCTATCTCATCTTTCGTGCATGGACTTTGTACCTTGGTTTGTCTTATCTTCCTTGGCTTTCCTCTTGCAGACAATCAGGAAGAATTCAGCTTAGATTAAGTTTTGGAAGGAGCTGCTGAAAGATTTGGGAAGAAAATGACACTGTTGCTTGGTTACTTGCTGAGCTAGCCTTGCTGTCACTTGTAGCTATCTCACTAGAAGGCATTTGTTAAGTGAAGCCACAAGAGGCTTCTTATATGGTCACTACATGAAAAGATATTCTTCCAAATAATGACTAGCACCAATATTCTTACTGCTCTGAACTTGCTCAAGACTTGCAAATTGCTTGAGCCTCCCTGGCTTAGCTAATGGGAACAGCCACAAGCACCTCCAGTTTTGAAGCATGGAGTGGTTTTGTCACTGCAATTTAATTTTATTCCATCACAAAGTGCTGATGACAGGAAAGGTGGGAACATGACTGTGACACCAGGTACATGGTTATCGCTTGAGGATTTCCTTTCTGCCTCAGTTTCCTCCTTTGAGAAGTGGACTTCCACAGCTGGTGGGTTCTGGTTAAATCAAATACCTCCTTCTTTCCTTTGGTGAAGAGCATCTGTAGGGCAGTCCCTCACTGGCAGGCCAGAATCCCAGGGTAGTACCTTGCCTGCAGTTCCCAAAGAGGATGCAGCTGCAGTAGGAGAGTCCACCTCTCAGCTCCATGCATGGAAATTTATCAGTGCTTCATTATGCAAAGGTCCCAAATCAGCACAATGTAGGACAAGCAGGGCAGTGCTGGGGACCAAGAGAGGGAGGTGAGAGAAGGAGTCTACAACAGAGGGGACAAGCCCAAGTGTCAGCCAGACAGGAACAGTTCCTTCCTGATTCTGAAGGAATCAGCACCCCAAAAATGTTTCCAGTAAAAATACCCAACAAACAGGCTTAGTGAGCTGACTGCCCACTTCTTTCCAAAAACCCTCCCAGAAGGACCTATTGGTGAAGGAAGAGAGAGACTGTGGTGGGACACAGTGTGAGCTGTTAAGTATGGGAGTCAGGACCCCTCCTGGGCACACAGGCATTGGCTTCATGTCATTCAGGACAGGTTCTTAGGGAAAAATTAGGGGCAAATGTGGTCCTTTATCTTCACCTGAGGTTATGTCAGACTTCTGGTTCATTTAATAGTCAGTGAACACTGTGACTGGCGAGACGGGCTCAGAACTGTGTTTTTCAGTCCACGCTGGGGGTATCCAGAGGATTTGTAAGTGGAAAAGCAAAGAGAGATGGAGCAAGTGAGCAGGGTCAGACTCAGTGTCACCATGGTAGCTGGGGGCCACCGTGGGCAGGAGCACATCATTGTACCCACAGCAATGGGGGGTTCCCTCAAGAGGAACAAGCCCGTTTGCTGGTGGAGCTGAACAGATGTAGAGTTTCCCTTGGTTCTATGGGTGTTTTTTCTGTATAAACTTGCTAATTGAGTTGTAAAATAAAACTGCAGCCTTTCCTCTCCAATTTCTGCTGCTGCAGCAGCGTGTTAATTTGGTTTTGGAAGGGGGCTGGTAGAAGGTGGCCCTTTGCCAATGTGAAATTATGCTCCAAAGGTTTGTACTGGGAGAAAAGGGAGCCCATCCTTGGAGCAGGGAAGGGTCTGGGGCAGGAACTCCTTGCGGGGCTGGGGCAGCTTGGGAAGGGCCTGCAGCTGGGCTGGGCTGGGCTGATGGAAATTCAAGAAAGCCCAGAAGGGTTTAGATGAAGCTGCAATGGAGAACAGATGGGAAAGGCAGCGCTCGTCCGCCTTGATAGACACGGTGCTGTTGGGAGGGTGGGCTGTGGGATTTCACATCTCCCTCCCCAGCCCCCAGCACAGCCAGGCAGGATTTGCTTCTTGGGTCTGTGTAGCCTGTGTGTGTGTGTCAGTTGGTGCAGGTGTGTGTGCCTGGTGTGTGCAGCAGCATATGTGTCACCTGGGGCTGTGTGGGTACGTGTGTGTGTGCCTGTGTTTGGGTCTCCACACAGGCAGGGAGGACAGGGAGCTGGCTCTCATCACCCAGCAGCACATGGCTCTGCTGTGTGGGGATTGTGGATGGTGGGGTGCAAAGTGCTGAGGAGGAGCTGGTTGCTCAGCTCTGCTGCCTTGCACCAAGCAGGGGTTGGTTTGGCCCTGCTGCCCACACCAGGGGCTGAGAAGCGATCCCGGGTGAAAAAGTGGGGGAGGATAAAAAGAGGACATAGCCTGGCTGTTGTGCCAATGTCATTTTCATTTTTAAAAGATACACAGAAATAGTGTGG